CCCCTCACAGAATGTATGTTGTAATAAGTATGTTGTAAGAATAACAAGAATGGGTTCCACCAAGCTCTTTTTGAATTATAAAATTAAGGTTGACATGTATCTTTGTTCAGGCACACTGTAGCTTATTGTGCCACAAAGATGACCACAAGTTGTTTAGTAATGAGTAGGCATTTGTCTGATACCAATGTTAATTACTAATTTTGTATCATCAGTTGATAAGATGTGGCAGTATTGATTTGCCAACCTCTAACTGTTGGAAAGTGCTGAAAAAAATTTTTCTTTATACAGTACAATGTAATTTTATTGCACATCATACATGTAATTTCAATATACAAGTGTGATTTGCTGAGAGATCTGGCTAGACTGCGTTACATTTCAGATTTTTATTTCTGGCTGTCTGATGTAACCTTGCTGACTACACACAAGTTATTATACTACTGGCTGTACGATGATGTACATGTGAACTCTTGCCAAATTGCACCACAAATTATACCTGTGTCATGGACAAACTTGTTGCAGAACTTTCCCTCTGAGTCACACAGAGTCTAAAAGTACTACTCAGTGTGTAAGTTTCAGACATCACTTCACATGTCCTAATTGCCCCTACCCACCCCATCCCTCATTGATTTCAGTGGACTGCAATGTGTCTGCACAAAGCCATCATTGCAAAAACTGTGAAGCTTGTGGCAATGTCTTGACAGCAATATCTCAGATTGAAGCTTCAATTTGTTAAATTATATTTATTATTTAATTTAAGAAACTTTTTTTTGCAGCAACCTGTACTACTAAAAAATTCTGACATAATTGGAACAGCCCTTAAATGGGACTTGAACTATCTCAAAGACAACCTTGGTCAAGGATCTTTTTCAGTCTACTCTTCCAGGACTCACAAGTTCATGTACTGTGATGACAAACGAGCCAAAGATTGGCCCAACTTTGTTCCACCGACGCAGAGGCTTGACATGAAATTTGAAGAGTTTTTTACAAGGATTACCAACTTTAAACCCATGGATACACGATTATACTTGCAACAGATGCTGAATGACTCTGTAGGAAAAAATATAGTGAAAGACTTTCTTGGTTTTAAGTGGAGCTGGCTTACAAATATGCAGAAGAAAATGAACTGGGGCACGTTGACATCCAATCTCCTCCTTATTGGCTTACCTGGGAATATTACACCCGTTCATTATGATGAGCAACAGAACTTATTATGTCAAGTGACAGGGCACAAAAGAGTAATTCTGTTCCACCCTGACCAGTTTGAGTGTCTCTATCCATTTCCTTTGTATCATCCTTGTGATAGACAAAGTCAGGTAGGTCAAGATATTCTAGAAGAGAATTAATTAAAAGTGATTTACACCTGAATGAACCAACTGCAGTTTAAATTTGAAAGATGAAATGTTCAGCATGTCCTGAGCATGGGACAAGGAAATACAAATGTATTTCAGTCCTGACAGAATTAAATCCCAGGGCCATACCCCCAGATACGTGTAACAGTCAGGCACACATCCAGTGAGCTACAGAAAGATTCATGGTGCGTTATCAGGGGCGTAGCTAGCCTTTAAGCCATTAAGCCTGGGCTTAACAAGAATTTCTGTAAATAAATTTTTTTAGTAGCCAAAAGGCCATATTTTCTTTATCTTACTATTCAATAGCAAATCACCGCTATATCAACGTTTTATTTTAAAAAACTAAATAATGACTTTCAATCTTATACATGAAAAAAATGCTGAAAGGTTATTAACAAAGCAGAACTTTGAAATAGTTTTGCGCACAAAAATTTAGTTGACTGTTGTTGTTGTTTTGGACATTGGCAAAATTTGATAAACAACTTACGCTGTACAATTTGGGCTTAAATGAAAAAAATGGCTGGCTACGTCCCTGGTTAGGCCCAGTGTGCACAGAAAATACTCTCAAGTAGCCTGGAGGCAGTGCATTTTCCCGTTGGACTAGTGGACTCTGTTTGGCATTGGCCTTTCTTGGGGGAAAATGTTTTGATNCTTGTGATAGACAAAGTCAGGTAGGTCAAGATATTCTAGAAGAGAATTAATTAAAAGTGATTTACACCTGCATGTACCAACTGCAGTTTAAATTTGAAAGATGAAATGTTCAGCATGTCCTGAGCATGGGACAAGGAAATATCTCAGTCCTGACGGAATTAAATCCCAGGACCATACCCCCAGATACGTGTAACAGTCAGGCATACATCCAGTGAGCTACAGAAAGACTCACGGTGCGTTATCAGGGGCGTAGCTAGCCTTTAAGCCATTAAGCCCGGGCTTAACAAGAATTTCTGTAAATAATTTTTTTAGTAGCCAAAAGGCCATATTTTCTTTTTCTTACTATTCAATAGCAAATCACTGCTATATCAACGTTTTATTTTAACAAACAAAGTAATGACTTTCAATCTTATACATGAAAAAAATGCTGAAAGGTTATTAACAAAGCAGAACTTTGAAATAGTTTTGCACACAAAAATTTAGTTGACTGTTGTTGTTGTTTTGGACATTGGCAAAATTTGATAAACAACTTATGCTGTACAATTTGGGCTTAAATGAAAAAAATGGCTGGCTACGCCCCTGGTTAGGCCCAGTGTGCACAGAAAATACTCTCAAGTAGCCTGGAGGCAGTGCATTTTCCCGTTGGACTAGTGAACTCTGTTTGGCATTGGCCTTTCTTGGGGGAAAATGTTTTGATGAACCCTTTTTTGGGCTAGGGAGAATGATTTTTGGGCTTACCTAGTGACATCATAGTTAAAGCATGCCCAAAGGACAAGCCCCAAAAAGGTGTTCTTTGCACCCTGCTNTCGTTAAAAAAAACTAGCAAACTTTGCCAGTTGTCTCTCCAATGTTAAAATGTGACTTGTTTGATTGGCCAGGCGATTTCATATGCTTCAATTCACGTGCCAACAGAATGTAAAAGTTCAAAGACAAATATTATGACAGTGAAAAACACAACAGATGGACTTTTGGATTAAGATGAAATTTTTACTCGAGTTCTCTTTAAGGTTGACACACACTAGGGAAACATGTTGCGGGAACAAGCCCCTTTCGTGTGTACGCTTAGGGACACTCACAGTATGCCAGCTGGTTTACGCCAAGCAGATTGAGGAATAAAAATGTGTTATAGCTGGAACAGTTTGCAGGAACAGTGAACATCGGATGCCACTTTCAAAATTGAGGTCAATTTTTCAAACCAGCCGGATTTTATGCACCTGTTGCTGTGACAAAATTTTTTTATCCCTGCACAGCGCCTTTTCGCAAAAACGGGCATGCCACACGAGGAAAACTGTCGCTGCAACATGTCTTCTGGAGTCCGCCGACCATATAGGTTGCTCTACCGTAAAAAAATAAAAGAAAGAAAGAAAAAAAGAAAACAAAAAAACGCTGAAAAGAAATTTTACGTGGTGCTATCTAGATAAAGGATTAGGTTGCATCCGAGAAACTGTATTGTGCCTATCATGTAGACGAGAAGATACAAGAAACTTTCTGCTTTTGTATTTCGGCATTATTCTATACCATTGATCTTGAGACTAAAATTAAGTACATGGAACACGGATTTTAAATGCTAACAGTGGAACGTTTCTTGTATCTTCTGGTTGTTGTCCATATCGTAGGCACAAAGCAATTACTCGTTAGAGCGGTTTTTAATTGAGTGTGGTAAAACCAAAATCAAAGTAATCACTCAAGCCAATCATAAAGGACGCAGACAATGCAGAGAACTTATCAAAACTGGAAGTAGTTACACGAAGCTGATAAGAAGCGCGGGAAAACGTGAGCGAACGAGTCACGTTTGATTTTGGTTTTTCTTCTGATTGGATGAAAAAGTGGCGCGATTTTTTTTTAAGCCAATCGTGTTGCGTAGTAAGTGCAAATCCAATAACGTTTCAAGTAAACACCGTTCTATGTACTGAAATAGGTTTAATACCAGTTAGAGGAACTTGTGCGTTGATCTTTTGTTATTTTTTAAAGGAGTTAGCTACATTCTGTAGTTACAGTAATGAACTGAAAACATTTGGCACAAGAATTCAAAAGTTCGGTAAGTAGTTCGGAAAGTCAGAGAATAGACAACATGCACAATTGAGTTTCATTACGTTATTCGCAGATCGAGTTACATGCCAAGAGCGATTTTCACGAAGAAAAAAGAGCGATCCCTGAAGATCCATTTTTAGGTTAGCCACGTGATTTGGATAAAAATATTTTCATAGAAATATCACATTAAGTGGCTGTCGATTATTTGAGGCTGGTTTTCTCTAGCGTGTAAGCAAAAGGACAAGCCGACATACGCAGACGCCGTAAGATGCTGATAATTTTAACAAATCGAATGTGGTTTAGCGTTGTCTGGACAGCGGCAAATTAGCCAATCAGATTGCGAGATTAGTAGCAATTGTGGTAAAAAGTGCCTTTTCCTAACAAAAGGTGTTAATTATCAGCATTTTACTGCGTCGGCGTATCAGCGGGTATGTCGACTTGTGCTTGTACTTATGCGCGAGTGAAAACCAGCCTTAAGAACTTTAACAATGGATTTTACCAGACTAAAATGTCAGCCAGTGATAAGAAAGCAAATTATTGAAAACAGAAATAGAGTTTAGTCCTGCGTTACGATTCTTAATTAAAAACAGAGTAACAAATTGTAGCACCATGAAATGGAATTTTAAAGAGAGAGCATTTTTACGTTGTAAATATTTTCATGTTCTCCAGATATTACCTCGTAACATAAGGAATAATGATACATGTAATATCTGCAATTTTACGCTAATAAATTTTTTATTTTGTGTTCACTAAGCAGTTTGTAACAAGTACATTTTTAATTTGACTGAGTGAAGAAAATCAGGGGCGACTCGTTGCCTTTTTCGAAGCATTCAAAAGCCTAAACCAATCTTGAGTTGGCTTACGCGCGTTCCAGTATCGCGCCACAGAAACCGGTTACACCTGTTTGCTTCGACTTGTGATTGGCCCAAGGTGTTGCCTGTGTACGTGCACGTGTATCTGTGACGGAACAAGCGTAATTTTGGTAGGGAACCTGTCCTTTGAGCCCTGTCTTTGTAGAAATTAAGAGCTATGACTTGTCAAAATGTATCCATTTAAACTACTATCACCTGTATATAACGTGTATGGAACAAACCATGGAGAAGAAGGCTGAAGTTTTGTTCATAAATCCCTCAGGCACTTTACTGTAGGTTTCTCTTCAGCTCACTCGGCAGTGAAGCCCAATCGAAAATTGCTTCATAATATGTTTTGTTTCTGCCTCATTCCGTTTTTGGCCTGATATCTTTGAGCATGTAACCATTTAGTATGTGTTCGTTCTGTTGCGGTTGCGTTTCGTAGTGTTGTCTGTCCTTTTCTTTGGTCAAAAATAGCTCTTTGTTTTGTGCTATAGCATCGGTGTCATAAATTAAATGCATCCGCAATCAATCAAATGTTGTCATTCATGGATAGTTACACAGTATCCACGAGTTTGATAATTCCCCGATTTGCAGGTAAATTGTAACTAGAGCGTTTATTTGCCATACCGCCTCTTTTCAACGATCACTGATTGCTTCGAGTTATAGACAAAACTTGATAACAATGCTGACAATGTAGAAAGCTCAAGTCAATTAGAGGTGAGGGTCAGTTTGGATAATAGTTTACACTCGTCTTGGCACTGATTTCCTGTCCAACTGTCAATCTTGACTTTGATTACGTGAATTTCTCATTTACATAACAACTGGTTGGAATTCATTGGAGCAGAAGAACGAAAAAGCTGTAAAATGTAGTCGGGAAGTAACCTCAAACGTGCCGACTTTTCGGCAGAGCATGCCTCGCGTACGTTCATCGAAACTAGAGGAGCTAGATTGATTTCACTGAGAATGGGGAGTGCGGCGAGCGTGAATAATGCTTATAGCAACGGAGAGCAGAATGGTAAATTACAGCGCAGTCCCACGGCCAGCACGACTCAACTCAAACGAGAACTGAAGGAGAAAGATGACTTTTTGCAGCGTAAGGACGCGGAGTTACAGCATCGCCAACGAATCATCGAAGAAAAAGATGCCGAGTTGGGTAAATTGCGAAAGGAAATTCACGAGCTCAAATGCGTCGTTCAACAAACAGCCTCGAAAACCAGCATTTTGTCTACCATTCACGAGGACGGCGACATGGCTGTGAACTCCAAACCACGAAAAGCTTTGAGATCAAGCCGAAAGGAGAAACGAATGGCAGTGAGCGGAGAGAGCAGTTCAAAGGCCGAAGAAGAGACGAAGAAGGAACTGCAGCGCCATCCTAAAGACTTCAGGTAAAGTACTCATTTCATTAATCATCCGGAGTATTTTATTTGATTTAAATGTTTGTTTTTCTCACATCCTTAGACCAGAATTGAATAGGAAATTCAGCGAGGTAGCAGTCAATGGTTAAAAGATGCAAATTATTGAAGAATGGGTGAAAATTAAACTTCAAGAACAGCAAACAGCAGACATGAAATTCTCAAGCTGTCTTGTCAAATTCGATTAACGTTATTGTGCTTTGGTTAAATCATCCCGTTTTGCTTGAATCAATAGTTTTCTGAACAGTCTATTTTACTTTAATATCCGCCGGGATATCCTGGCTTATATCGTATTTATTTATCTGTGTAGTTTTACCTCCCGTTTCGTTTTCCTTTTTTTTTTTCTTTTTCTTTTTGTAATTCAACTAAAGCGGTTACTGTAACTTAGGTCAATGTAAAATTGTGACGACTCTTATTGTGATTAGTACATGTATTGATTTGCCTTAGTGATCGAGCTATGCACCTAATGTTGTCAGGACCTTTCTGAAACATCTTTAGACGTATCTGAAAAACAAAGAAAATTGAAATTTCATTTAATGTTGGTATCGCATGTTAAGTCTAGGAGCATCGTATTTTGTTTCGCTGTTTTTCCGTCAATAGCCTGTACACAGATTATTTTAGCATTACTTGCCCAGTTCATGTCTCACTTTGTTTTGATTCGTTGTCAAGTGGCGACAAGTTGACTTAGATTTTGACATGTCTCTTCGAACAATGAAACGTTTGACCCCAAAGTGAATAATCAACGAATAGCACCGTAATTTAATAAACTTAATTTCCGACATTTCATTTCGGACCAGAACATTTTCAGACAAATTTCTTTTAATTTTCAAAATTGGTCAATATTTTCGGACCCAATGTCATGCAAAAAAAATAAATGAATGCGAAATAAATACAATGATGACAGAAGTACATCTCCAAAGTTAACATACGAATTGTGACAACAAAAGATGCCCACGGCAGATTTACGTTGTATGTGATGATCTTCAGACTCAATCTCCATATTTTTAGATCATTGCCCATTAAATTCCGGCCAGCGCACCCAGCCCTTTCCTATCAGCTGCCCGACTTGTGTTTGTTGTCAGAACGTTTCACATTGATAGTGCGAGTTATTTTTGTTTCAAGGTGCCATTTCTTTGTCTTGCCACGAATTCAAACAAACTATTCTCACAATGGGGCTCTATAGAATTCCCTCATTCCCTCAACTATTTCCTAACCTCTCAAAATTTAGGACGGCTTGTTGATTTTGAGAATGAGCATTGCTCCGAAAGAAAACGCGTCCGAAATTCTAGGGTTATTATATGTAGTAGGTGTTTGTCCGAAAAAGGAAAAAAAAAAAAGCTGTACAGCAAGTTCTTTGTTTCAGATTTGCTAGATGTGAACAGAGTACCTTAATTGCAAAAAATTTCGTATGTTTAATTTTCGGACCCTTTTTATCTCATTTTGGGCAAATGTCGGACAGCAATTTCGGACCCTCTTTTGAAACATGGCTAAAATACAAAACTCGAATTAGACTGAACAAAATTTGTGAAAATGATAGTTTTACTGCAGCCTCAAGGTTTAACGAATACTCTGACGAGAAAATAACACAAATTCTATCGAGCCTAGACTTTGCTCCATAAAGCTCGGCATAGACAAAAATAGGAGCTTTGGAGTTGATTCAAAGCTTTATACTGTACTGTAAATATTTCTGACTCTTGAAATTTCGGTCGCTGATAGATTTCGGATGGTTTTATTTTCGGACACTTTGCTAACATAGATGTCGTGGGGCTTATTGCTGTTGAGACAGAGCAGGTGAATGGTGAACGGTCTGCGACAATTAACTTGTCTTTTATGTCAACTCGTATTTGATAATAGACCATTACTCGCTGATGAAGCACAGCAATTTTATTATTGATATACTGCCGGGTTTTTTTTATTTACATGCACCTGTTCCGTGTTGTCCTAAAGGAAACGCAATCTTTGTTTATACATGAGACGGCGCAACCCATATCTTTGGATTTCAGAAGATTCTTTCGTAACGAAATATTTCGCTAATCAGTTTTGTGGAGTTTTTATATTTGCGTACAGTCGAGATCTTAATTAAAGACTGAAGCAAAATCAACCAAGTTCATGGAGGCTTGAAACTACTGGAAAAATGTCGTAGAAATCAACGCTCCATGAAATTAAGTTTTCGCATTAATTTCCTATAGTAAAGTAGTCAAATCATTTTCGTCACGTCTTGAATTCTGACATTTTTTAAACAGACACAAGCAAAAATTCATTAATTGGGCCCACATCATAGTTAAGGATCATAACTCCTAAAACCTCAACGAATGCCAATCTATTTACAGACGATGACACTATGCTTCTATTTCTGGTGATATTTTATGGTGAACAAAATAATTTTCACTCGATTTGCCATTTTGTTACCCGGGGTAGTTAGCCAAGGTTTTGCCTTTAATAGTACTAGTCATCGATAGACATCTCGAAGTTTGCAAAATACTTGTTTACGGAAAGTTTTTCGAAAGTCTAAGAAGAACCGTGGTATCGCCCCCAAAAACTTATGAAATCGCAAACAATTATTCGCAAAGTGGAATCGTTGCAAACTGAATAACTATATTTCTTATAAGACTGATGACATTCATTGTGATTGGCTGAGAGCAGGCTAATTTATCCGCGCGCGCGTTCGCAGTTTTCTCAGTCATATAATAAATGAGTAATCGCATAAAAGCTCGAGCAATTAAGAATTTACACTACTCTTGACATTTGATAAATCTTTCAAATTGCATTCACCTAAAGACTCGTGTAATTTCGAGAGAATTTTCAAATATCACTCGTACTGTAAATTTCACTAGCATTCATATGACTACCTCTACATATTTTTTCGAATCATATTCATTGGTTTTATTTTTGTCGTGTTTCCAGATCGAAACAGCTGATCAAGGATGCCATCAATGAAAACGATTTTCTGAAGAACTTGGAAGCAGCCCAAGTGCGTGAGATAGTGGACTGTATGTACCCCAAGAATTACAACAAGAACGATATGATTGTAAAGGAAGGAGACATTGGACAGGCGCTGTATGTTATCGCTGGTAAGAAACTTTGCGCATTTAGGCTGCGTAGTAAGTTAGTTTGTTGAAAACAAGCTTTTTCAACATCTCAATCCAAAAAAAAGTTCTGATTGCGGACAGCCTTAGAGTTTTCGTATTTGAAAACTGTTGAAATGTCCCCAATGCGAACCATCTAACTGAAAAATTCCTGAAATTCGAACCGGAATGTTTGGTCGAATGGAAATATTGGAAGCGCCCCCAGTTTCAAAGTGAGAGTCGCTCTAACCCTAAGTCATTTGGTGACCTTAAACAAGAACATGATTTTTACCTCGTGCTTGGACGAACTTGGAGCGAAATAAATTTGGTGTGTTCATGTCACTCGGTCAGCTTGGAATCAGTCATTCACTAGCAACCCTGTGTAAACATACAAAACGCAGTCTATATGCGTGTAACAATTAAATGATTTTTTTTCTCAGAGGGCCGCCTTGAAGTGACAAAAGATGGTGAAGTATTGGGTGAAATGAACGGCGGAACTGTTTTCGGCGAGTTGGCCATCTTATACAACTGCAAACGGACAGCATCTGTGAAAGGTATGTTCTGGGCATGACAAGAGTGAGAATTGTCGTGGAACTTTGCTTTGGGTCATTGATGTTTTGATCGTTTTTGTTTCCTTTTGGTGCCACAGCTATAAACAGTGCCAAGCTATGGATTATCGATCGCCTTGTGTTTCAAACCATCATGATGCGAACTGGTATGATGAGACAGGCTGAACATATTGCATTTCTCAAAAGGTGCGCGCGAAATCCTATGGCCTCTTCACCTGGTTACACTCGGTGCTGTTATCTGTACACCAACCAATAACAGACTCAACCTTGACAGCAAATTACTTTGTTTAACGTACTAAGAACTCAACATTTTTGTTGCCTTGTGCTCCTTGCTGTGCTCCAACTAAAGTCAGTCTTCTTCTTTGCCCAAATATACAATGTTGGCCATAGAGTTTACGTACTTGTCCTCTCGTTTAAGGCATGCAGATATTACATCATGTACTTCCGACAGCAATAAGACATTGTGTCCAATTTCTTAGCGTTATTCCAGGCCTTTGAATTGCTTGAATACATTCCCTATATGAACACCGGATTTGCACTTCCCTTCAGCTTGGTTCGCTTAGTCATTAAATCAGAGGTGTTCTTCGCTTGTTCATTTAATGTATTAAATACGAAAGACCATGTTTGACCACATTTCAAAAAACACCGAGAAGAGTGTCGAAAATACGACGCGCAGTCGAGTGTTTTTGACGAACTTCGATATGTTTGGAACTGTGGTCAAACACTGTGTTGAGTGTTTGATATATCTTATCAATCGAAACTAAAACTATGGAGAAAACGGAGAAATAAAATCGTAAAAATCTATGCTAATTAGGATCGGATATCCAAACACCGTCACGGTCATGACTTCCTTTGTTTAAACTTCATAAATTATTAGTGAGTCTAAGAAGGAGTAATCTGAGTAAGAACAATGGACAACACCTGGAAAATATAATGACCTCGGACAGAGCTCCCTTAAAGTAAAGAAAATAAACACAAAAAAAAGTCGTTAAATGTTAATCTAAGTATTTTTTTTTCTCAGTGTTCCTCTTTTGAAGAACTTGTCGGATCAAGAATTTGCCAAACTTGGAGATGTTTTAGAAGAGGTAAGACTGTTTTTATAGTTCCGTTACTTTTCTTTACACGGCATCTTTCCATAAAGATCTATAAACTCGTTAGCAAATAAGCAGTTTCAATTTCCCCTTCTTTCAAAACAATGTCCACTTTATTCAAAGTAATCGTTGGTTCGTTTGTTTAAAAAAACTTGGGGAAAAAACGTAAAGTGTTGTTTTGTTTTGTTTGTTTGTTTGTTTGTTTAATTTCTCCCATCCTTCTTTTTCTGTCTTTCTTTCAATAGGATTATTACCATGGAGACGACTTTATAATCCGCGAGGGTGAAAGAGGCGACACATTTTATATCATAAATAAGGGCTCGGTAAGTCCACAACAGCTAAAATGAAATGATGGTGTCACACAATATCAACAATTTTTCTTATTTTTTCACATAAACAAAAAATCACCTCTATACATCGAGTTATCATGCCGAATTGTGTAAATATGCAAAGTTTCAAAAGAATCCGTCACAGCATCATGAAAATATAGGATCCCAAACTTGCCAATTTTTACAAAGAAATATTTTCCAGAGGGCAAACGTTGATTGATTTAAAAAATCAGGAATGCGAGACATCGTCAAAAAGTTCCATTCCAGCTGGTTCTTTTCTGCTCTTTTTAGTATTTTCACCGTTTTTTCTAAAGCTTTTCCGGATCCTTTCGCGTGGATTCTTTTTTTTAGCAAACACTGTAAGAAAGCGCTGTGGAAAAATCCCTGTAACCCTCACCTTATATGAAAAAGCTGTGAAAACATTCGCTTGCGTCTCGTGAGCATTTCTCCTCCCAAACTTCTACCTGTATTGCTATTTAACTTTTCGATTACGAGCTCGAGATTTCTATGGTGTAATAGTGGACGAGGGGGCAGAATCACGGAGCGGTCATTTCCAATAGTTTCAAGTTTCCTTAAGCTTGCCTGGTTTTGATTCAGTCTTTAATTCAGCTTTTCACTTCACGCAGATATACAAGTGTAATAATGAAATGTTGCGTTATCGTAGGTGATCGTTACTCAAAGGGTTGCGGGACATGACGAGCCTCAGGAAGTCAGAAGGCTCGCAAGGGGAGACTACTTTGGCGAGAAAGCTCTTCTAAGGTAAATGGACACAAGGCTGCGGCCTCATCTCCTAACAAAAAAGAGATATTTTCGTTATAATCAAATTATATTATACATTTCATTTGTTTAAATTTCTTCTATGAAAAACAGGACTTCCTGGTAAATGCCTAGTCGTAACGGCTTCGAACGCCGAACACTTATGCGTCTAAATTATTATATATAAGCTCGTAATACATTTATCATTGCCTTTTTATTTTATTTTCAGTGAAGATCGCAGAACTGCCAACGTAATCGCTGAACCACCTGGAGTGGAATGCCTGGTTGTTGAGCGAACGTAAGCGATCAAAAACTTTATTGCTGATAACTTTTATATGGTGCTAACTTCTCATGTTGTGATATTTTTAGTGCATTTAAGGCTTTGATTGGTAACCATGACGAACTAAGACAGAAAGATTACGGAGATGAAGAGCGAGGTGCAAGGAGGTAAGGCCATTAAGGATGTTTTTCTTTTGCTTTCTGTTTTTTCCTGTGATTTTAACAAGCTCGACAACTCGAAAAACACGGGAGGCTTGGGGAGAGGTTAAAAGCTTCCGAGGGAGTAGGAGTGAGTGACGTCAAGATGGCCAAAACCTAGCCTCTTCAGGCGTTCAGTTAATTGGGGGACAGTGCGGAAAATGGTGCATGAGAAAATAGGGGAAAAGTGCGGTGCTTGAAGGCGAGAGAGAGCGCCTGTAAACACTGTGAACGAAAGGTCCTTACGCCTGCGTATGGACCGCCTACAGGGGCCTGTAACAAGACCGCCAAAGCTAATTAGAAGGTGCACCAGATCCTGGTGTACCGGAACGACGTTTTGTTAGGTTTGCCTACAGGCGCTCGGTCGCTCCACGCACCAAGTTTCTCTCCCCTTTATTTCGCCTCGCCGTTTTTTTTTTTCTGCACCTCGAACAAACTCTATTTCTCATTTTCAAATGCCATATGCATTGCTTCTTTACTTTCTTTTTCCTAACAGGTGTCATTCTTCCTCTAAACTTGATTCAAGTCCTTACGAAGAAAGGAAAATTTCAAAGCAGTTTGAGGACTTGACCCTCGATGAATTGGAAGTTATCGCTACCCTCGGAATGGGTGGATTTGGACGCGTGGAACTGGTAATAACCTTCCCTTATGCCTTCACGGCCAAAGCTAGAAACAAACTGTGACTGAGGCAATGTCGGTCCGTTGTTATAATTAAATTATCTTCCTAGGTATTTAGGGTGTTTGTGATGACTACATTTATATGCAATACTGGAATCGCGCTGAAAGAATGACTGAAGCAAGTGCCTCGGTTCGCCTGGCCTTTTCATTTTTCCGTTGACAAGGTTTAAACGTCTCGCAAAGCTTGTAAAATCGACTGATTTCGCTGAGTTAAAGTTGTCCGTCTTGCGTTGAATCAAACTAGTAGTAATGACAGTTTCTTTCATCAGGATAAATATAATTTGGCACATTTAGAAGTAGAGCTATCGCGAAGGAAGCTATTGGAGATGTTTATTTGGTAATGTGAAACTCCGAGTAAGTTAGAAAATTCGCATCACAAAAGGCAGACACTTTCTGCGTCATTTCATGCATCAAGAGTCCCACTTGTCATGTTATTTGTAAATGGATTGAGAATATACTCTTGTTGTAAACTACTCTTGTAAACTACTCTTTTCAGGTTTCTCCTTCAATGAAGAGGTAATTTTGTACGCGGCCAAAATAGACATAAAATGTCATAAAATGTCATGACTGAGCTCCTTAAGTCCCCTGAATTTGTTTGCTTGTTACTTTTTTGCCGTCATGTTATTGGGACTGATGATTTGCGTAGTTCATTTGAACGTCTATGCTCTTTATGTGGACTGTACGACACGTACTACTTTCAGGTCCAAAATGTTAAGGATAAGCAGACGTACGCTCTGAAGTGTCTGAAGAAAAAACACATCTTGGACACACGACAACAAGAACACATCTACTCCGAGAAGAAAATCATGTCTCAAGCACACTCTCCCTTCATTTGCAGGTAAGAGGGCGAGTTATATCACATAAAATGTCGCGTAGAACAAAAGTCTCCCCTAGTTTGTTGCTCTGTCATAGAATTCAAAGACCCCGGCGCTTGACTCCATTTTTCGGAGCATGTAGGGCCTACAATGGACGGGTGAAGTGTCGAGACACCGAAAATTCTAATTTTGAATTTTTTGGAACAAATTTTGCTAGCTCTAATGCTACAAAGACGACAGCACCTACACAACGTTGAATTGCATGGGGGCCTGGAGTATCAGAGAATTATCTCTAGACGCATTTGAAATAAAATAAGTGGTTAAATATCGTACGGTATCATTTTCTAAGAGTGTCTCGACTACTTTTGCAGCCTATCGTAAGAGTGCTGTTACTCGCCCGGATGTTGGTCCATCGCAGATTGCCTCCCAACATTTTGTTAGATTGTTTCAATAATTCACTGATACCCATTGCTTTCCTATCTCTGTCTTTAACAGGTTATATCGAACCTTCAAGGATCGCAAGTACGTCTATATGCTGCTGGAAGTTTGTCTGGGTGGAGAGCTGTGGACTATACTGAGGGACAGGTAGATATGAGAAGTGCTCTGATCATGTAAAATGTTTCATATGCAGTATAGCAGGTTTTTGCGGACGATATCGCGCCTGTCTTGTGGCCGTCTCGGGCTCTCTCGGGTCCGCCTCGCGCCTACCTCTCGCCCACGTCACACGCACCCTTCGTGCGCCCGCCTCGCGCCCACCTCACGCCCACGTCGCTGACGCCCTTTGTGCTCCTACCTCGCGCCCACCTCACGCCCACGTCGCACGCGCCTCGCGCCCTGCCTGCGCGTGCCTCGCGACCTCCTCACTCCCTACTGGGAATGCTACAAAACCAGAGTGACGTCTTTCCCATATTATTTTCCTGCACAGGGGCTTTTTTGATGATTCTACCGCTCGTTTCCTCGTTGCCTGTGTAGTGGAAGCATTTGAATACCTCCATTCCAGAGGCATCGTCTATCGAGACTTAAAGGTAACTGGAGTCATATTACGACATAATAGCTGAGAGCGTAAAGCGAGTGTAATTATGAAAAAATTATCCCATCACTGTTAAAACATTTTTTTATTACTATCATGTAAGAGATTCCATTTTAATGACAAACTCTTGAGATTATCAGGTCGTCCGTTCTTAGGGGCAGACCATTACTTTTTGAGAGGGGTTGCAGGTTGTGCAATTGTTATTTTCGGTGGGCAATAGCTTGTGCAAGAATTTTCTTAACATCAAAAGAAAAACAGTACCTGGATAGAAGAAAGCACTTGCTCGATTTTTCCCCCATGGCTGCCCTTGCACGCTTTTTTTTCCAGCAGTTTTTGCTGTGCAGGAATCTTTTTTTGGAAATTGCCCAACCTCCCCTCAAGAAAATAATGGTCCGCCCCTAGTGACTATCACTCATATTCCCAGGCTCTATCTTCTTCCCGGAGCGAGAGGGGCCGGGAAGAAGAGATGTCTTGGGAACGATGTTGAACCTACCTGGACTTTGTTGTAACACAGTAAAGAAAAGCTAGTGTGCTGGTTACTACTGTTACAGGTGACAAGTTTAATATGTAGCATAGTGAGAAGAGTGCACGTGCATGATTTACAGTTCGGCATCTTTTTTACGTTATTTGCTTTAGCCGGAAAATTTACTTTTGGACAAAGATGGCTACGTGAAGCTGGTATGTAATTGTATATTTCCCTGTTTACTTTTGTGTAGTTAGGGATTTGTTTTTAGTTCGACCTTGAAATTTAAACCGAAAATGACTTAGCTATTCTAGGCTGCAAGTTTTTAACCGGCTGTTGACATACAACTTGATCGCCTAACCTCTCTTTGAGTGCATTTTTGCCCTGGAATATTTTTCGTTTGTGACTTGTTTTACCATTGTATGGCTTCACAATAGCGTTTGGTACTGTGTCTTTGGGCGAGCTAATTCCAGGCTAATTTTGTCTCCATCGTTCTCAATTCAACTGCATTATGTTTGTTAGCTATAGACATAGTTACTACATTGACTATAAAAAAATTGTCGAAAATAAAATCAACAAATTTAGTCGTTGTAGCACTTAAATATAAACGACCCAAAAGGGTTAAGAGTTCTCTTACGACGAACAGAGTTGACGCAATTTCTGGGAATTTGTAGGTGGACTTTGGTTTTGCCAAAAGGATTGGGTTCGGAAGAAAGACATGGACATTTTGTGGAACGCCAGAGTATGTTGCGCCAGAAATTATCCTCAATAAGGTTAGATTGACGATACTCTACAGCTATCTATCAACTTACAGAGAGGGGACTACATTGTAAATAGGGGTGGAG